GAGCTTCAGCGGCTTCCTGTGTGTGCGGTGCACTGAGTTCCTGCCCTACATTTCTGCCAGAGCCGTTCTCATTCCCACGCCAGAGCCACAGCGGGGTGGGGAGGTGGTGTGGTACCGGAGGATGCAGTCGTGCTCTGGGAGCTTGACTGAGACGGGCGCTGCCTTCACACCGCCTCTCCTTCCTGCCATCCATACAAACCACCCTCACTCACCGCAGGAAGATTAGTTGAGGGCTGGGGCGCCAGCGTCTCTACTGCCCGCAGACTCAACGCTGTGACCAGGGGTGGGAGGGACCGAGGAGGGGAGCTGGTGGGATGTCGGGCACTCGCCTTCTGCCTGGAGCTAAGCGCAGAGGTGCTCACAGAGAGGAGAGAGGGCTGCACGTGGTGAAAACCTGCAAAACCCATCCTAAATGTCTGCTCCTGTGACTCATTCTTGCAACTGTGCCACTTAGAGCTACTTTAGCGAAATCCCTTCCTACAGCTGGGGAGGGAGAGATACTTGTGTGAGGGCAAGTGAGGGGGGGGCAGGTGAAGGAAAGAAGGACTTCCGTTTCCATCATTAACTACACCCTCCACCCCACCAGCCCAGTCTCCGGCAACTGGCCGGCTGCCTCCTCACTCCCCCAGCTGTCTGGAGGTCCCTCTCAGCCTTTAGGACCCATTTCAAGGGTCATTTGCTCTGGGAAACCTGACCTGACCTGTACTGAGGCAGAGGTGACCCAGCCCTCTTTTCTGGTGTTTCTCGCAGGAGCAGAAGACACCTCCATGCCTGCGGTCACTCAGATGAGACAATCCCTTTCTATGTCCCTCTTGTACTCTGTTAGTGTCTTGCTTGTACTTCTTTGTGTGCCTGGCACTCAGCTCAGGGGGCACCCAGTGTGAGGAAATTTGCAAACAAGAGTCATGGGAAAAGGAGAACCAGCTTAAAGTCGCGAGATGCCACGGTGTTACTTTCTGGTGGTGTGACTCTGGGAGAGTCGATGAACCTTTCAGAGCCTCACCTGTTAAGTGGAGAGATGCCCATCTCGGGATTACAATGAAAGGTAAGTGGAACAGTGTGAAGTACAGCAATAAAACAGTATAAGTGAGGGCCAACCAAATGACATGTACTGTGACCAGCCCTAGATATCTAATATCAAAGAAGTGACTGGAACGGGTAGACCTCAAGGAACACAACTCCACGGGAAGGTCCCTGGCTGGTGCTCGGTACTGAGTACCAAGTTCAATACCTGCAAGTTAAAGGCCTGGGGTCTGGAGGCCAAAGCTGACCTGGGAGACCAGTGAGAACTGATGGCTGTTGGGGGTTCGTGGCAGAGAGCCCCGTAGGGCGACAGCAAGCCAGCCAGAGATGCCTCCTTTCCCTCCTCCCTGTAGCCCAAGAAAACACTTCCTTGGAATTCGAGAAAGGATCAGAGACACCTCCATTTTACGATGAAAAGAAATGATATGATATTAAAGAAATACTTCCCTGGACTTCTGAAAAGACTACAGATGTGTTCATCTTGCCACTAATAGACATTAAGAGATATTCCTGGGAAATTGTGGCCTGAGGTTCTAAACCACGTAGCAATGCCCTGAGCCTTCACCGATGGCAAATTAAAGACAGAAGGTAAAATAAAATAAAATTAAAATTAAATAAAATAAATTCTACATTAGTCAAGCATTGATGCATTCACAAGGAGAATGAGAAAAATACTACTTAGTTGGTGGTACTGAGGCTTCTACTCTGGCCATTCAAGTCTCACAGGGATTTCTCACAGGCCTCGGTTTGGGTTTATGTCTGAGGGTGACCGCTTGCAGCTGTGTGCAGAGGAAAGCCCAGGCTGCAAGGCATGGCGTTTCTGAAAGTTAACCAACAGCCATCTCTGAAACATGCTACCTTCCCAGCATAACACCCCCACAGGGACGCAGGGGTTTGAAATGAGGAGTCATGATCCTATGGAAGCTGGAGCAGTGTTCCTGAGAGATTTCTAGATCTGAAAGACTCGGTGCATTTGCGAAAGCTCGCTGCTCTTGTTCCATCCTTCTGGTTTGAAGACCAGGCTTTTCCCAGTGGGCCGCAGGACGGTGGGGGTGGGGGTGTGCTGGGACCTCCGGAGAGCTTTGTAAGAATGTATTTTCCCCCTCCATATCCCGTTCTAAATCTCGGCAGGTGCAAGGATGGAGAGGATTGGCCTAGGAGGGGCTCACTCTCCAACTGTGTAATGACTTCCTACCACCTCCCACCTCCCAGCACACATTTATTTCTTTTTTTTTTTATTTTTTTTTATTTTTTATTTATTTCTAGGAGAGAGAGAGACAGCGTGAACAGGGGAGGGTCAGAGAGAGAGGGAGACACAGACTCTGAAACAGGCTCCAGGCTCAGAGCTGGCAGTCAGCACAGAGCCAGACACGGGGCTAGAACCAACAAACAAAGAAATCATGACCTAAGAGAAAGTCGGAAGCTTAACAGACTAAGCCACCCAGGCGCCCCCATTTATTTCTTATTATTCAGAGAATAGGGTCTGGAGTTTGCCAGACTTGGGCAGAGAGGAGGGGGAGGGGCAGCGAGAGGCAGACAGAGGGAGGCACAGAATCTGAAACAGGCTCCAGACTCTGAGCTGTCAGCATAGAGCCCGATGTGGGGCTCGAACCTACAAACCGCAGGATCATGACTCGAGCTGAAGTCGAACGCTGAACTGACTAAGCTACCCTGGTACCCCCCCTTTTTAAAGTTTATTGGGAGAGAGAGCACATGAACATGAGCGGGGGAAAGGGCAGAGAGAAGGGGAGAGAGAGAGAATCCCAAGCAGTCTCCGCGATGTCAGCACAGAGCCCCACATGGGGCTTGAACCCACAAACCATGAGATCACGACCTGAGCCAAAATCAAGACTCAGACACTTAACCCACTGAGCCATGCAGCCGCCCCGCTGGACCTGGGTTTTAAATCAATCCACCTTGTCTGTCACTCATTTTCCTCCTGTCCTCACCTTCACAGGCTGGCTGGCAGGATGGTATGAGATGCCACATGAGCCTGGTATGGAACAGTCCCCAGTGAAGACACGGGCTGAGAAGGGAGCCCAGTCCCCTGGGACCTCTTTGCTGTGGTGACTGAGTGCTGAGCAAGTCCTCAGAGGTGAATTCAGTGTGAGGCTGGGACCCCATGGGTGCTCAAGGGAGCCCACAGAAAACCCCCAAAGTCAGCATGGCTCCAAGGAAGCTTTAGGGTGACCCAGGCCTGAGGGGGTTCCTGGGATGTGCGACAGGCACAGTGCCAGGCAACTCAGACAAGTTGGTCACCCTAGCAGCTTTCATGTTGCTGGGGGACCAGGGGACGTGGCCTAATGGGGTGGGTGTGGGTGTCATTCATCTAGGATAAAGAAACATGGTTCATTAGGGCATCATTTCTCTTTAATTTTTTGATGTCTATTTATTTATTTTGAGAGAGACACAGAGTGTGAGCAAAGGAGGGACAGAGAGACAGACCCAGAATCTGAAGCAGGCCCCAGGCTCTGAGCTGTCAGCACAGAGCCTGATGCAAGGCTTGAACCCACGAACTGAGAGATCATGACCTGAGCCAAAGTTGAAGGTTCAGTCGACTGAGTCACCCAGGGGCCCCTATTAGGGCATTCACATTATCAAATGAGGGACGCCTGGATGGCTCAGTCAGTTAAGCATCGGACTCTTGATCTTGACTCAGGTCATGATCTCGCTGTTTGTGGGATCGAGCCCTGCCTCAGGCTCTGTGCTGACAGCTCAGAACATGCTTGGGATTCTCTCTCTCTCCTTCTCTCTCTCTCCCTGCCCCCGCCTTAAAAAATAAATAAAATAAAATAGCAATTGATAGCAGATGTGATCCTGCTGCTACCAGGGCCCCAAATGGGTGGATGGGGGCAGATTGCTCGGGGAGATCACCAGGGACTGGGAGGTAGGTGAGTTGGCCTACTTGGGGCCACTTCTTTTCTTTCTTTCCCTCCCCTTTTCATATAAAACACCATCTTGGAGGGAGGGTGCCTTGGGACAGGTGTCTCCTGGGGACGGTAAGACTAGAATGGCTGTGGGGCGCCTGGGTGGCTTAGTCGGTTAAGCGTCCGACTTTCGCTTAGGTCATGATCTCGCGGTTCATGGGTTCGAGCCCCGCGTCGGGCTCTGTGCTGACTGCCAGCTCGGAGCCTGGAGCCTGTTTCAGGCTGTGACTCCCTCTCTCTCTGACCCTCCCCCGCTCAAGCTGTCTCTCTCTCTCTCCTAGAAATAAATAAAACATTAAAAAAAAATTTATAAAAAAAAAAAAAGTAGAATGGCTGTGACCCCCATGCGGGACAGAAGAGAGGGGACCCCACACAGCTCCCTGCAGGGGCTGCCCACGTGGGCGGGCACAGGCAGCTCCTGGGCAGGATCCCACGCAGGCTCTATTGGTCCTGGCCTTTTTCTGCCCACACCTGATTTGTCCACAGCCAGATGCTCCGGCCTGCGAGGGGGGCCCAGCAGGCGCGCGGGCAGTTCTGAGGCGGCTGCCCCTCACCTCTCCGTCACCCTGTGCTCCTCTCCTTCACCTCTTCACCTCCCCAGAAAGCAGTCCCTTTCTCCCTCACTCCCAGTCTCCACCCAGCTCTCATTTCTGTCTTCTTGCAAGTCGTTTCCCTCCATCACTGCATCCCACTGAATAAAGTAAGATCTTGGCAGTTCCCTTGCCTGAGGCCTATTCGCTGCCTCAGAAATTCTCAAATATTTAAGGGAAAGACAGCCTTTCTCATAGGAAATGTTAGCTTTTGTTCCTTCTCACTGGGCTTCGAGTCCCACAATGGTGAGCGTTGGATCTCTCTTCTGCCCCAATGTCTCCTGAGGACACAAAAATATGTGTTCAAAGAATATACAAATGCAAAAGAAAATTTTATTTTATCGTTTTTAAATGTTTATTTATTTTGAGGGAGAGAGAGGTAGAGTGCGAGCAAGGGAGGGGCAGAGAGAGAGGGAGCACAGAATCTGAAGCAGGCTTGGGCTCTGAGCTATCAGTGCAGAGCCTGGCGCGGGACTTGAACCCACGAGCCACAAGACCATGACCTGAGCCTAAGTCAGACGCCCAACCAACTGAGCCACCCAGGCGCCCTAAAAGATGATTGTTTTTTAACAAGGGTGGCATATGATGACACATGAGGAGAAAGAGAAGGAGAAGGACTTGTTCAAACTGCTAATTTATTTACAAATTCCTCTTAAAAGTTTGGAATTTGAGCAGGCCCTTCGGTCAAGTGGAATGTAACCTCAGTTCGCTGTCCCTGTCTCCTCGAGGGATGGGAACTGTAAGGAGGGCCTCATCGCCTCCAGCTCCTCAGAAGTTTCCATTCAAACAGGGAGCAAGATCAGGGCAGTAAGAAGCAGGAAAGGGGACGAAGGTGTCAATTTAGATGAACTTTCCTATCACTCCATCTAGCCAGCATCTGTGCTTTGTCTGTCCTGCCTCAGGAAATCGTCATTTCTTTTTTAAAAAAACTTTAAAGTTTTATTGATTCTTCAGAAACAGAGAAAGAGTTGGGGGGGGAGGGGCAATTAGGAGAGGGAGACACAGAATCCAAAGCAGGCTCCAGGATCTTAGCCGTCACCACAGAGCCCTATGGCGGGCTCGAACCTACAGACCATGAGATCATGACCTGAGCGAAGCCAGATGCCCAACCAACTGAGCCACCCAGGCATCCCAGGAAATCCTAATTTCTACTCTAGAATCCTAAGGAGGGATGAGGGGGAAGGAGCTGATTTTATTGAGTGTCTACCATAGGCCAAGCACTTTATATAAATTATCACAATGATAAGATAATTTATAATTCAGAAAAAAATCTAGTTTGATGACATCATCCGTTTGGGACAGAATGAAGTTCAATAATTCACTTAGGAGGCACTTGGCTGGCTCAGCTGGAGGAGCATGTGACTTTTGATTTTGGGGTCATGAGGTTGAGCTCCATGTTGGGTATAGAAATAACTTACATATGTGTATTCACCTAAATTTATCCCCACGAGAAATAGAACCAGAAATTAACATACCCTCTGATTCTTAGGTCTGTGACCTTCTTTCCATTACAGTACGCTACAGTGGTCACTAGTATAAAGAAGATAAAAGAGAGCAGAAAAGGAAAAGGTTCTTTTAACACTAGAACCATGTTGGTAAATATTAGGGATTTGCACTGGGCTTTGGGCTCAAAGCTGGCTTGTGCAATTTTAGACCAGTTCTAAATGTTTTAGAACATTTTGAGTCCCAGCTACCCCTCCCTTAGCTAAATTTATTTGCATGACTGAGTATATGATTTATGCTCCTCAAACTTACTTATGAGATCAGCTTGTGTTGCACCTAGAGCTAATGAACTCTTTGCTGACCACCTACTCTAAATTAAATTGCTTTAATTTGTCCTACAACTGTTTTTTCTAAGCTTGGAGGAAACACTTGTTCATTCGGATGTTCCAGAATGTTCTCCTGCTCTGGGGTGCCTAGGAGACCTTAGATTTCAAGCATATTCTTTCTTAGACTTTGGTCTCTCAAACCAGAAGTTCCCTCCTCCTTGTCTGGCCTAGCTGATTATCTGGGCTCATTTAAATGCCACCCTTCTAGTCCCCTTCAGTACGACTTTTTGTGCCAGTAATATCTCAGGACAGTCTCTCTATTGTGGCATTTGAGTGAGCATCTGGTTAATAAGATGCTCATGTCAGCTTCAGTGACTTGTTGAGGGCCAGCTGGGAATACAGTTTTAATAAGAAGCCTTCTATTTCCCCTCTGTTCTTTGGGATAATCAGAAGAGAGAGCTCTAACAGGGCATTCTTCCCCAAGAAAGGCTCGGTCACTGCCCCCAGGATGTGTGGGGAAGAGAGAGGAAGGCCGGTGAAGTGCTCATGCCAGGCAAGTGACTGCGCAGGCTGGCTCACTGCTCAGTGACTTCCATACTTCAGGGCCACCAGGCAGTGTGAAGTTCATGTTTCAAACGAAGGACACAGTTCATGTCTCAGAGCTTCAGTTCCCCCTTAAATATAACTGAATGCTCAGGCTGCTGAGTATCAGGAGAGAAGTGACATTTCTTTCTTCCATCTGGAGGGCAGGTGCCGTGGCATGGTGCTCCTGACAGCACCCAGCACTGGGATGAGGGACAAAACAAATGCTTCCCTGTCTCCTTTGGGCTGGGGCTGGGGCTGCTCCTTCACTGAGTTCTTGAACCTTCCTCCATTCTGAGCTCCTCCTCGGTCTGCCCGTGATGCTTAAAGTGGGTATTCCAGAAGGGTGGCAGACCCTCTAGTGACACCCCAGTTTGGGGAAGTTTTAAAGGGGGCTGTTGGGGCTGGTGTTCCCAGCCTGGGAGTGTGTGGGAAATCCTGGTGTGGTGGGTTGAACTGTTGCCCTCCCCTCCATGCACATGTTGAAGTTCTAACCCTCAGAACCTCGGGTCTTACTGGAGTATTGGGCCCCCACCCACCATGAGTGGTGTCCTCATGAAAACAGGAGATTTGGACACAGAGACACAGGGAGAGCACCTTGTGAAGATGAGGGCAGGAATTCAGGTGCTGCTTCTACAAACCAAGGAATGCCAAGGGTTGCCAGCAAACTCCCAAAGCTGAGGGAGAGGCCTGGAACAGATTCTCCCTCTCGGCCCTCCACAGGAACCGACCTGCGACACTTTGATCTCGACTTCCAGCCCTCAAAACCCTGAGACAATAAATGCCTGTGGTTTAAGCCACTCAGTCTGTGGTACTTTGTTACTAACACTCTAGCAAGTGAATACACCTGAGTTGAACCGTTTTCTTGACTTCAGAGTTTCTCAGAGTCTTTAAAAAAAGTTTTTTATATTTATTTATTTTTCAAAGCGAATCAGAGCACGAGCAGGGGAGAGGCAGAGAGAGAGGAAGACACAGAATCTGAAGCAGGCTCCAGACTCCAAGCTGTCAGCACGGAGCTCGAAGTGGGGCTCCAACCCACAAACCCGGAGATCATGACCTGAGCCGAAGTCAAACACTCAACTGACCGAGCCACCCGGGCACCCCTCAGAGTCTTTAATATAAGTTAAATTTGTGTGCAACGATTTCCAAATTTGACTTTAGAACACTTTTTTTTGCCCCAATTCATCTCATGAGTCTGCTCTGGGTATCAAGGCTACCTACGAGAAAGAGAAGAGGCTGTTTCAAAGCCATCACCCAAGACCTATGTCAGAGGTCTTGGCACTGAAAACACTAACTCTGTGGCTCCATTTCCTCCTCTGTGTAGTCAGCTTAGGTCGTCTCCTCAGATCCGGGTCCAGGGCTCTGCGGGTGTCGGGGGAACACCTCTCCAGCTGACTTCAGGAAGGGCGCCATAAATAATGCGTGGGTGTGGGATGTGGTAGAGCCGGGGGTCTCCCGTCAGTTCTGCCGTGGCGCCTGGAACATAGGCACCGGGAACTGCCAGGTGGTGAAAGACAGCCCTTGCTGTCTGGCTTGAATCCAACGAGACCGGTATGAGCCAGACCCCATTCTGAGAGGTCTCAGGGTCAGCCTGAAATAGGGGTTTCCAGAAGGTGGATTCCCATGGTCCTGAGGGCTAGCCAACGGAGGTCAGCCTCCATCCCCGCCCTCTTGCTTTCCAAACTCCTCACTCTGCACCCAGGGATCTCCATTATGGGTATTGTCCACGGCTTCCAGACAGGAACCTTGGCCAGCTGGAGCTATAGGAAGGGGGCAGGGTGGGCAGCATGGAAAATGGCGGCTGAGAGCTGAAAATAACACACACACAGAGCCAGGGAGTGTCATTTCCTAATTCCTACCTCAGGATGGATCTGGCAGATAAGTGGGAGGAGCAGGAGATGTGAGGGCAAAGGGGTGAGGGACACTAATTGTTATGCTGCAAATACCCCACCTCCAAAAGTACCCAACAGCACCCGGGGCCCCTGAGTTCACCTCACAATAATTGTGAAACCAATTTATAATGGTTCACACCCAGTGGAGGAGGAGAAGGTGGGGAGGAGGGTCTGGCAGCAACTATACCCATGAAATAAAAGCAGTGACCTCAGGTTCATAATCTCCCCGAAGCCTCTGAGAGACATCAGGGGCAGCAAAGGAAGCAGTGGCAGTGTCTGGAGCGGGGGTGAGGGGACACGGCTTACATGAGGAGGCTGAGGAAAACATGGTTGGAAAAGCAGGGGAAGGCCAGACTTCTGGGGTTTGCAAAGCTCCGATTTATGTATCTGCCGAGGATGTCAGGCCATACTCCTAGGGCTGTGGGAAGTGAAGCTCTTTGCACAAATGAGTGACATATCAGAGCAAGGCTTCCAATGGCTCGGAGGAGTTGATATTGGAGGTGAGGACCCAGAAGGTGACCAAGACAGGAGGCTGGGAGACACCCAGAGCCTATAAGGCTAGCAACTGGACCGGAGAGGGGGTGGGACTGATCCTTGTTCCTCCTTGCACCTGCTAGAAAAGCTCTACTTAAAGGACTAAGCATCCCAAGTGCTGGCAAGAACACAGAGCCACCGGAACCCCCACACAGTGATACAGCGCCGGGAAGGGACGGCCCGTCTCCTGTTTGCTTGCGAAAGGTGCAGACGCCAAATTCTGAGCAAGGTCTTCCTAAGAAACTACCAAACTGTGTCTCTAAGTGACTGTAAAACTGCATTGCACAACAAGTTGACAGGTTTTTATCAGTTTTTTAAAATGAAGTTTAGGGGCGCCTGGGTGGCTTAGTCGGTTAAGCATCTGACTTTTGCTTGGGTCATGATCTCGCAGTTCGTGGGTTTGAGCCCTGCGTCGGGCTCTGTGCTGACTGCCAGCTCAGAGCCTGGAGCCTGTTTCAGTCTGTGACTCCCTCTCTCTCTGACCCTCCCCTGCTCACGCTGTCTCTCTCTCTCTCTCTCCTAGAAATAAATAAAAAAAATTAAAAAAAAAAAAAAGAACATCTCTCTAAACAAATAAATAAATAAAATAAAATGAAGTTTAACATAAAACTACCCTATCATTGAGCACTGCTGCTTCTAGGTATTTTCCAGGAAAAATAAAAGCATATATCCTCCAAAAGACTTCTACAAAATGTTCACAGTAGCTTTACTCATAATACTTGAAGTCTCCGTCAATAGGAGAATGGATAAACACATTGGCTACAGTCA